GAGCCGAAGAGTCCGTGAAGCACCACATTAGAGAAAAAGCCGATTATAAATAATAATGACCTTAGTGGATGATGAGAAATGCAGTAGTTTTTCTGAGCCAGACAGAATGATGTAGGGGATACAATATAAATGCATAGAAGTGTATAAGGGAAGCAGATGCTGAGAGATTCCATTTCTTCCTCCAATAATTTAAATTGACGGTGAATTTAGTAGGTGCTCAATAAATATTTGTGAATGAGTAAGTAAACAAAAGCAGTCTAACAATGAATTTCCTAATGAAAGTTCATGAATTGAAGCATGTTTGCATTTCCAAACTATGCATTAAACCTGTGTCTATTTCAGGAGTAAGATCAGAATCCTGTTAGAGGAACATGCAAAATGTTGCCTATCTATTTAGGGACAATCATGGAGATAGAAAGAAAACAGATATGTGGAAGCACATGGAGCTCACTTTGCCTATGAGTTGTGTGCATTTTTAAGTGGGAGAAAGGAGAGGGAGGGCAAGAGAGGCTGGACTGAGATTAAATTTTTGGAGTGATATTTGGTTTTCTGAGGCATAATCTAGTAAGGAGAAGGGCTTGATGTTTTTATTTAGTGATCGTTCCTCTAGTCCTTTGTTCCAAGGCCCATGTTTGTTTTTGCACTGATGGAATTGGAATTATAGGACATTCTTGGCTTTTGAACTAGTTCATTGTGCTGAACGTGGTAATTTTTGTGAAAGCATACTGAAACGTCTAAAATAACCGCCAAGGCAAAACAGTTTAGTATAGCTACTGCGGCTATATCTAAAGCAACAACGTTTATATTTAGTCGGATTTTAATCTCAGCACTCAGTTCTTAGGTATTTCAATTATAGGAACCCCATCATGCTTCCCTTGGGTCAGGGTGTCTTAAACGTAGTACTGTTAACATATTGAGCCAGATAATTCTTTGCTGTGGGGGCTGTCCTGTGCTTCATAGGATGATAGCAGCCAGTAGCACCCCCTACCCCAAGTTGTAACAACCTAAAATCAGGGGATTTTTTAAAACTGTTTTTTTTGGAAGGAAAATCAGAGTCTTCTGAGAGGGAAAAAAAAAATGTTTTCTCTCTTCTTAGATGGTAAAAAAATTGGCTTGTGTTAGCCAGGTGTGATGGCTCATGCCTGTAATCTCCCAGCAGTCTGAGGCCAAGGTGGATGGATCACCTGAGGACACGAGTTCGAGGGCAGCCTGGCCAACGTGGTGAAACCGTCTCTACTAAACAATACAAAAATTAGCTGGATGTGGTGGCACATACTGTAGTCCCAGCTACTTGGGAGGCTGGGGCTGGAGAATCGCTTGAACCCCGGAGGTGGAAGTTGCAGTGAGCCAAGATCATGCCACTGCACTCCAGCCTGGGCAACATAACAAGACTCTGTCTCAAACAAACAAACGAACAAACAAAAAACAAAAGGAAAAAAGAAAATTGGCTTGTGTTCTTTAGCCATTATAATAAGGGTAAGTCAGTTCTATCCCCAAAAGAAATGAGAAGTACCACTTATAAAACAATTTGTGTTTCCTCTCTCTCTCTATTTCTCTCTCTCCTTCTCTCTCTCTCCTTCTCCCTCTACACACACACACACACACACACACACACACACACACACACATTTTTTGCTAATAGTGACTACAAATTTCTGAGCAGTTAGTGGTAGATGAATACCAAGGCTTATTGTACCCTTTTATCTAGCTCATAGGTCAATTTGATGTCACATTGACATAATTATTTAAGTGAGCTATTTTCTCCACAGACTGCTTTAATTTCGTGACCCTGGTCTCTGTGGGTCACTGTTATTAGACTCTGATTACCTCCTGGAAAATGAGTATGGCCGCATACTTTCTTATGTGCATGCATACTTTTGGCTTATTTCTTGAATATTTTATTACTGGATCCACTGCTTTTGGTTGGAAAAGAAGGTCCAATCATTGCTGCATAGATTATCATTCCAGTGGGTGCCCTGGGCAGCAATTTCTGAACCATCCCCTTTGAAATTTTGTTCCCAGCTGGAGAAATGTCACAGTTGTCTCAGCTTTTGACTCTGACTTTTAGTGAGAGATGTAAGGAATAGGAAAACACTTTCAAGAAGGAGCAATGAGCAGTTGTATGCACATCTGGTGACTTATGGCTGAAGACTACAAAACATTTAAAAATACTGATGAAGCCTCAACCTGTTGGGGAATTGTTCCCATAACTTTCATTCTGCCCTTAGATTTGCTGTGGTTCAGAGCCACGTTTAACTTGGTGAATCTTGTGTAATGGCCAGAAAGAGACCTCAGGAGCCCTGTCCCTCAGGTTCCTAGTAGCCTTGACAAGAGTGTTGTTAAAATTGCAGACTCTTCACAGTTCCAAAGAGATATCATTTCTTGCTATTTCTATATGAAGTCTAAAACAATCTCTGTATATATTTTGGCTTCTAAGATATATTCTGAAGTAAAATAGCAGGTTTACTGTCTTTGAGCAGATCATTTCTTTTGTTTGTAGTAACTGGTCATGTTGATCTCTTTTTCCATTATCTTTGTTATATTTATTTGGACGTTAATGTTGGCCATGCCCTTAAATGAAAAAAAGTTAGGCATTTCCCAGATTTATGTTTTTAATATAAAAACTTTACATTTTAAATGGTATACCTCTGGGGAGAAATGTGTGAAGAATTGATGGAAGTTGGAAATTTTTAGTTAGTAATTAACACCTACCATTAAAAACAAGTGCCAATCACATAATGCCAAAATGAATCTATCACATACCATAATCAAAGATTAATCCAAGTAACTACCAGGCAAACAGGGATTGAATAGAACTTAAAACCAATTAAACTATTTATTTAGGCTGTACCAGTGAATAAACATTTTAGTATTTTAATTTGCTCCTCTTTTCATTTGCTTCAGCAATATGTTTGCTAATATGGCTGAGATGCACAATTGCTATTTAATTAACCTATTTTTGTCAGCACCTCACATGAGCTTCATGAAGTAGATGTGCAAAAGTCTCAATAATAATGAGCCTGATAAAAAAAAACACAAACACAAAATTTGTGCCAGTCACTTTACAAGTTATGCCAAATGTAACAAATACCTGAAGAAAAATAGAAGCAGATTACCTTATAGAAATTAGATTGAAAATACTTTAAAAACATGTTGCACCAACACAAAATTACTCAAAAGTTTAGTAAAATTTCAAAAATATATAATTGCCTTGTTTCTCTGTACCCCACTTTGTGTATCATTACCAGTAACTATTGGTAATGAATCTATTGGAGGCCATGTGTCTGGTTTTGGGATAATTGAGTTGATAGTGAGCACAGAAGGGTTTGGTAGCGCACATCTTTTACCGAATCATGTATCCTTTGGGGGAGATACTTTTCTAGCTATTGAGTGAGGCATCATGATTGTGTTGATCCTTTTTGCTTTTATTTCCTAAGACCAGTATCAAAACCCTAGCACAGTTTGGGTGGTCTTGACCTCAATGATACACATTTATTCACAAAAGATAACTGAACATTTGAAGAGAAGCCTCGCCTTTCTCTACCTTTGGATAGTAGGAATGAAAGAAAGTAAGATGGAGAAATCCACATTAAATATAAAGACTCTTTCCCCATGCAATCCCAGAGCTCTTTCGATTGGCACCATGAAGACAAAACATTCTGATTGGATTTTTGGTTCTTCACTCAGGTGTTTTACTGTGAGGCAGACACAGTTTGTGTACAACTAGATAAGACCATTTCCTGGCCAAGCTGTCTTTTCTTTTTCCCACACATTTAAAATTTACTCACACTTACAGAGCAGATGTTTCAAGTTTTCTGAAACAGCTGCTTAGTAGCCAGTTGATCGTTGGCCCCCAAAGGTAACAAAGACCCCCTGTCCCCAAATTTGTGCCAGTCAACATGACTGTATTTCCTTCCCATTACCCCACTGCTTTTATGAGGTGTAAGCACCTTTCTAATGAAAGTCTATTTTCTAGATCTTAGGACAATAATAGAATGTCACATTGTAAGGGTGTTAAGAGGTCTTCTGCAAAGCCCTTGTGCAGATAAGAAAACCGAGATTCACAAAGGTTTAGACCACCTGTTTTTTATTTGTTTATGTGTTTGTTTGCAGCAAGATGAGGATTAGAACTCAGATTTCTGACTCTCTCAATGTTCTCCCTTCTTTATCATACAGGCCCCTTAACTACTGGCTGTTTTGCCTGTGGTAGACTTTAAATGATCACATGGGTCCCTTAGTCACAGCCTTTTCATGAGTGACACAGGAGCTGAGTCTCCCTTTTTCTAAAATGGAATGTTTTCCATCCTTAACCTAGACTTACTTAACCAAGGTCAACTTTACATAAATAAATGTCTTTGGGGGCCAGCAGGTAGTATATCTGGGCAAAAGCATGTGTGGCAACATTTCGATAAAGTGCAGACATATGTTCTGTTTAAAAATGTTAACATTCAAATTCTCAAATCACTCTCTTACCAAACCAAGCATATCCACAGGCTACCAGTTTATAAACCCTGACTGCATCATGATGCAGAGTAAGGAAGAGTGTTCTTACAGTTATGCAAATAGGATCCACATCACCAGTTTCTTTTAGAATACTGGATGTCTGGAGTGTGCCATGCCAAACCCTTTTGCTTTGAATGCCCTGGACTTCTAGTACGCAGTGAAAAGGCACAACTTTGGGGACATAAAACACCCCTGTTCAGGCAGTCTCCCCAGAGACTAACTGTGAAAAGAACTTATATGTGCAGGTTGCGTAAAATCCGTAGGAGAGATGGTGCTACTGCCTGTAACCTTTCTGGGGGCTGCTGAGAATCCCTAACAGACAAACCAAATCATAGGGCAAATCCACCATATGTACCGAACAACCAGTGTAATTATATTCTGTAGTTGAGGAATTACATAAATTGCCCATTGGGAAAGAAGCCTTAATCTCCACCCCTCCCCCAAAATCTGCAAACAGCTGTGTGAGTCTCTGTATTTTTGAAAGCTTGAATACATCTGATCAGTGAATCAACTTGATTTCCTAATCAGGTTCGATGTGAGGAGAGCCAGTTAGAGATGTGTGTGTGATTCTCCCAGCGTGCGTCTTTGATTCAGGCACTAATTATGTCGATCCTTTGGGGAACACAGCCAGGAAGCTGGGTCCTCCTTGATTAATGCTGGCAGAGAGCCACGCAGCGCACAGCGGAGGGCAGTTCAGCATCTCTAGTCCCAGCTGAGAATATGGTCCCATTATCTCCCAGCTGCCTAAGCAATCCATAAGGGCCTGTTCTGCGTGGATGATCAGTGTAGTGGAAGCAGGGACTTGCTGAGAGCTGAAATCTCTGTTTGATTTGCTGTAACATGTAAAGCGAAACTGGGACATTTTACTTTACAGTCTGTAAGTACCAGGTTTTTCCCCCTCTTTCTCCCTACAGCTCCATGTGAATGTGACTTTGCAAGCCGCATTTGATTTTCTGTTCCATTGCTCTTTGTTGAATAAAGCTGGTGAGATAGAGTGTAATCTGTTTAAAGCCTGCTGTTTCTGTTTAATCTCTTATATAATTGATTCATACAAGGAAATAGGAGCCTTTCAGAATGCTTTTATAGAAGTTAGAAATTATTGGCTTTGTTTTTAATTTGGAAGTGTGGTTGCACTCTCTTTGGTGCCAGGATGATTAGAGCATATATTTATCTTCTTCTGTACCTCTGGCCATTGCGAGAAAAATGTAAGTAAAACTAATGCATATATAAAGAGATAATCGTATATGCATGTCTATATAAAAGAAATGTGTATCTGTATTTCCAGAATTTAAATTTAATATAGTTTATTTTGCTGTTCTCTGCTGCCACTAAGAAATGCAGAAACAGAAAAGTTTCTCTTGTTTTTCAGTTGCATGCTGTTTAGAAACTTTGCCAAGGAGCTGGGCAGGATAACTATTAGGAATATTTCCAAATATAAACTGCATATCTCCTTTTTTAAGAGATAGTATATAAAAAGAGTCTGTGTTTAGCCCCTTATTGCTTTTGAATGCACCACTTTTTGAGAAGTGATGTGAATTTTAAAAAATCACTTTAAATCTTGCTCATTTATCTTTTTATATATCCCCCCAATGCCAGCTATCAAATTAATAGCTGTTATTCATGCAAGATAAATTCATTGTAAAAATGCTATTAGAATTTAATATTGTTAATAATATTTGCATGATGGCTTCAGATGATCAATGCCTTAGTGAAATTAAAGATTGTTATCACCATGGAAAGGGATTTGTGGATTTTTCTCTTTCCCTAACCTAAATATAAATCATACTTTTCTTTTTGGATTGAAAGTAGAACAATTGAGCTGTTATAAAAATTGAATTTGACTAAAAGTGGCTTGAACAATGTGAACCAATGGCCAGGGCTAATGTAAACCAAAGTGAACTTAAAATCATTAATACCTGAAAAAGGGAATTGAAGTTCCAACACTGAGCTTGAGACCCTGAAGCCTGATGATCCCATAATTTCCAGAGTGGGAAATACAATTTCCCTGAATAGGCAGTAAGTCTCAAGGCAGAGAAAAACCACAGACTGTGAACTATAGAAGCGTCTCACTGGTGAGGACGGAGTATGTTCTCATTAGATTTGGTTGAGAGGAACCGTGCAAGAGAGAGAAGACTCAAAATAGATGGTTGTGTACATGAGCACAGGCATTTCAGAGCTTGAGATTTGGAGGGAAAATGATCACAAACCAGTGCAGAATGCTTAACATCTGGTGAGATGCAGCAAAAGAAGGACTCTGGTACCTCTGAGTAACGAAGAGTCCCAGGGCTGTCTTTGCCAAGTTATCGGTTCCCTGATAAAAAGTAAGTATGTGAAAAGGTCTGATAATGAAATATGAAATAATGGCAAGTGGTTTTGATGGCTCTGTTTTCCCTAAACAAAAGGCTGGCTTCATGCCTTCTTACAAAACTGAACTGACTTTTGTGAGTGTTGATTCCTGGTGAACCCTTAGCTATATTTTTAAATAATTGTTAGTGTTTTTCTGACTACCACAAGTATATGATCTTGCGTAAGACGTGATCTTGCTCTAAGAGGGTGGTAAGAACAGAAATTGGGTTAGTTAAGGCCCAGTGATTTATTTCTTAAATAAATGCTTTGTTATCTACCTGATTGAGTAAATACTGGTTCTTTTGAGTTTTAATTTCTTTTTTTCCTGAACCCTTCTATTTGTAATTAGTAGAAACTATTGCCTTCTGTAGAGAAGTATCTTCCCAATGTAGTTAAATTTGATTTTTTATTTTTCATTTAAATATTTAGAAATTTCAACACATACCTTACGATGTTAAACGTTTTTGTAGTCAGTCACCACAAAGCTGAGAGAGGTATTTGCAAGATTTATAGTTTGCTCCTATCACTTTTGGGGTGTTTAGACAATTTTATAAAATTGGGACACTGTATCCCTACTTATTTGTGCTTCATCTGCCGGAAAGTGAATTGAACGCTCCAGGGGTTAGTTTCGGACATGTGGTCTCTTGACAGATTGGGAAGCCCAATGGGTGTTACATATACCTTGTAAGAGGTACTTTTAAAGCCGTAACAATTTGATTGGTCTTCAAAATAAATTTAAAGTGCTATGAAAGAGAATAAAGAAAAAGTCCTGAATTTTATATGTTAAGATAGTGTATTGCTGTATGTATTTGTATGCATATAATTCTACCCAACAACTTTGTGAACAATTTCTGTGCTAGCCAAGCACACTACCTCTTTAGTTCCTAGAAAGCCCTGGGGTTGAGCAAAGTGGAAAGAATTTCATAAATTGGGATACATCAGCAGAGAGTAAAGTCCCCTTGAATTCTGTTTTGGGTCTTTGGAAGATTGTTTTGTTTGACCCCAGAGCTGCTGGATTAAGCATAAAGAAGACTTTATAACATCCAGCAGCATTTGGAAGCAGGACCTCTGCACACAAATTGTACCCCAGCCATCTTTAACATCTTAGACCAGCCAATGTGAAGCAAGGAATGCAGTTCTGTGAACTGTCTCCATGATGACAAGTTAAAGAGTGACTATGAGCTGGGGCATGGTGACACAGTTCAATAGTCCCAGCTACCAGGGAGGCTGAGGTGGAAGGATAGGTTGAGCCTAGGAGTTTGAGGCCTGCTTGGGTAACATAGTGAAACTGTCATAATTAAAAAAAAAAAAAAAAGTTAATATGGCTGGAGGAAAAATAATGAATTTAATAACTCTAATAATTTTGGATGATTTTAAATGTTAGCAAGCCTTAATTATCCATTGTCAAAGTATATGCTCCATTGGTTATCTCTAGTAACAGTGGAAGCTTGGAGTTAACCTCTAAGATGCTTTGCAATTCTAACAAGTTTCTTAACCCTTCTGTGCCTCAATATGCCCCAGTAAAATGAAATATGATTTCTATGATCCTTTCTAGGTTAAGAAAGTTATGAACTCATGACACCTCATTCTAACTGGTCACTCACTCTTGGCACATCCTTCAAATTGCCTAGAGACAGGGTGATATGTGATGTAGCTGTCATTTTAAACAATATTTCAGTAGGATGTTTTCAGTTTTTCTTCTTTCATTTCTCTGTCTTTCTTCCTCCCTTTTTCTTCCCTCCCTTCCCTCCATCTTCCACTACCCACTTCCTCTTTCTCTTTCTACCCACGTCCTTCTCTGTCTGTCCTGTTCCCTGTTCCCCTCTCCCTCTGCCACGCTGTCTCCCTTTTACATCAGTGAATTGTCCTCAAGTCAAGTGTGACTTTAGAAACAAGGTTGGGATTGTCTGTTCATTTGCATAATGTGTTTGTTACTTTCTCTTAGGATAGTTCGTTGAAGTTTAAATGACATACTGCTCTGTTATGTATTAGAATTACTTAATTTTAGGGATGTATGTGCATCAGGGACATTGAAAGTTATGTTGCGTATGTATGTGTGTATAGATTGCCCGTGTTAAATTTTAAAGTAAAAGTGTTATTTATCTTCTAAATTGAAGATGATTAAGGTAAGAGATTCATCTTAATGTATTAAGCTAACAATATTTAATTTAAAAATAAAACAAGTTAATAGCCCATTTCAAAGTAGCAGGATATTAAAGAGCTTGGTTTTTAAAAAGAGAAAGTAAGTTCACCAAATGATCTGATTTTTCTATAAGAAATTGTCTTCTCAAACAGTATGGAAAATAAAATGCATACATTATTTTTATTAACAAATAGATACCCATCCACTTAATCAAGTAAGCAACTTTGTGAAACAAGAAAAATATTTCATGGCTTTTTTTTTAGTGATACATTTCCTTTAATCTTAGGATTGTTTATCACTAGTTAAGTCCTCTTAGTTGAAAACAACAGATGATGATGTTACTAAACCCAGCACTAAAGAGTGCTTCTTGATGTACTCAAACCAAATTGTGAATACACTTCATATGAGCATGTCGACTGCAGGTACTGAAAAAAGCTAAATTAATTTCAGAATGTATACTTGTAGGACAAGTATTATAGTCCTTTTTGTTTCTTCCACTATTAGATGAAATAGATGGAATGGTACAAAAATTTACAGGCTAATATTTTACTGTACAGTTGACAATACATATACACTTATAAATATTTTTTAACATCAAGTGTATTCCAGGATGGATGATAAGTGGCCATTTGATGACAGTAATGGCTTGGAAGGGCTCATCTTATTTCATATCAGGGTAGTGTTATGACAGCTTTTAAATGTTAGTTGAAATATTCATTTTTCTCTCCATTTTTATTATTGGAAGGTTTCTGTGTGTCTTACTATTCTGGAGTTTGAATATTAATGTTATTCCTTATTGAACTCGCAGATTGTATTTGATGCATATATATATATATATATATATATATATATAAATTTTTTTGATGCAGAGTATAAAATTAATTTTCCAAATCTCATAAAATTGAGTAGATATCCTGGCGTTTTAGGCAGCAGGCCTGTTGTAAGTAGAATCCGTAATGTGAAATAATTTGTTTTATCGTCGTGCATCAGTCTATGACCAAAATGATTTTGTATTTATGATCTATTTCAATGCAAACTATATAATACTGACAGACATTGTTTGATAATTTGTGGCTCTCAAATCCTTGATTATGAAGTTACCAAGCAGCTTCAGGGACATTGCTTTTGCTTTTAATCTAGTACCTCTGTTGAATTGAGATGTTCAATTCAGTATAACTTAGTTAATAGCTCCAGTGGCTTATCAGACTGTTTTATTGTGTAGTTAAAAAATTAAAGTTGTAAACTGGACACAGACATGACTCCAGGTCTTGTACATGGCTTCATGTCTTCACCTTTATTCCAAAGTAAAAATGTAGGTCCTTTTGCATTTTCGCGTGAAATTTCTCTATGTTTTAAGGGACGAATGGGGTGATTTAAAATGAAGAGGAATGCATCAGAAGGAGCTGCAAAGGAATAAAGTGTTTCCTATGGTTAGATCTAAAATTCAGGGCTATACATTTTGAAGATATGACAGAATTTAGAGAAGCTGACTATGTCAGACATTTGGCAAAGGGGACTAAAGGAGACAGATTTAAAGCTTGCCAGAAGAAAACCCTGTATCAGTGGATAGAAATTTGAGTGGCCTGCAAGCAAGCAAGCAACAACAACAACAACAAAAAAAAAAAACGAAAACAATGTAAATAAGGAAGTAGAGTGTGGATAGAAGAGCTGTGGTTTCATTCTACAATGGAAAATTGTGGTAAGTGAGTGAAATAT